TTCAAGAACACCTGCTGAACATGACATTTCTGTTAAAGTAAATATATTATTGCTAATGTTTTCCTGTAAGCTTGGCAAAATTGCATATACCTTACTGAAAACTTATATGATAATTTTAGCTCTTATTTTATTTTTGAGATAACATTTTTGATTTTTGAATTACATGTAACCATGAACTAAATACAATTACTTGGATTATCAACCAACCATTTTCTCATATATGTTAAGGTTATAGTTTAAGCATGTTCTATAGCAAAAAATTATTTCCAGAGCACATTTATGAATTATGGCTTTATGTACATTTCTATTTATGTGACTAATCAATAGTTAAGTTTAAATGAGACTTTGTGCCTTGTGAAGGGAAACAGTATGGATATTTAAAAAAATCTTTGTAAGACCTCAGTAAACACATTTGTCATTTGTGGCAGCCACAGTCAGTGCAGCGCTTTTTAGAAACAAAAACAAGTGATTAGCCTTTAAAGTGGAGCACAATAAACCGAACCCTGATCCATGACCACATAGCGTGTTTCAGAGGGGATTCTTCCATTAGTTGAGATGCCTGTGTGTTAATAGCCAATGAAGACACAATGGACTACAGTTAGTACCAATTTGCAATAATGTTACATAGACCCAAATATATAAAGAGAAACATTTTACAAAATATTGTTTTTACGTAGTGATTATACATTTGATCACATTACATTTCAGTCTAATAAACATAGGCAAAAATGTATTTCTTTTTTTTTTTTAAAGATTTTTATTGGGGAATTGGGGGGATGGGAACAGTGCTGGGGAATTGGGGGAAGGGAAACAGACAAGTTGCTGTCGTTTTGTTCTTCAATCTAGTTGTGGAGGACGTTGCTTCACTGGCCCAAGTTGGCACCATCATTGCGCTCTTCCCGGGTGAGGCAGATCAGTTGCCGGCTTCTAAACGGCTGCTCACTGCAGCTGCTGGCTGCTCATGCTGGATGCTGGCTGCTGGCTACACACGATAGTCCATGGCAACCCACTGCCACCGGGTCTGCAGCCTTCGCTGTCGCTGGCGACTCATGGCAGCCCAGCTCCAGGTTGAGCTGTTGTTCAGCATCTTAGCTGTGGAGGGCAGTGTCACTGGCCCTCATATGTTGGATCTGTACTGGGGCCCTCTGGCATCCCAAGCCAGCTCTTAACCATCGCACTACTCGGCCGGCCCCTAGGAAATTTTTAAATGATGCATTTATATAAAAGTTCCAAACATGTTTAAAAATTTTAATGAAGAACTTGAGGTTACTTCCCAGAATACTTTTTAATACCAGATCTTATACTATAAATGGGTATACTCAATTTTTATCAAAATTTTTAATATGATCTCTTCAATTTTTGATAGTTTATCACCAATGCAAAAATGTAAAAGCATTTTTCTCAAGCATTAAAATGTTATAACATTGAAATTATATTTATACAATCTAAAAACTCTCCCTTTAATTGACAAATATAACTTAGAAATTTTTTTACTAATGCAAATGGTTTTTCATCCAGTTGAACTTTCTTGTATCGATTATTTCAAAATAATGATAAAGTTTTAACTTCTATAACATGCATGTGTTGCTAGAGCCATGCAGCCTAAAAGGCACATCAGCTGCAGAGGGCCAGAAGTGGCTGATAGACCCGAAGATACAGATTTGGGGCTGCTTCCGGGAGCCATGAGCTCCCTCAGTCCCAGCTGATCACACATTACTCTCCCTGGGCATCTGGAATGTGAACTTCTCCAGTAGCTCCATGGGTTCCTTGTCCACAGTGGGCAGTGGTGCATTTGGTATCTGGCTTCTGAAATAGGAGCCCATGTGGTAGATCGCCTTCTTGGCAACGGGGAGCAGTGGGTGTCTGATGGCATTTGTTGTGCTTACCACCTGTGCACATCAAGGGGCATGCTATCAGATCCTGTACTGCTTTGAGCCTCCTTCTGGGAAGCCCTGGAATAGATGCGTTCAGCTGCTCCATTCTGGCCACAGTGAGAGATGAGAGGATTAGTATTTTTGGGTCCCCCTGTAATCCATTCACATATACCAATGTCTGGTGGGCGAGGATTCCTGAGTTAGGGCAGCCCCAGATTTCAACTAAGATATCAATTATTCCTGAAAGATGATAATTAGAAAAAGATTCCATAATTAAGTACATTTGGAAAATGCTATGCTAAAGTTAGCAAGTTTCTTTGCGGTAGAACTTCCCAAAGCCTTTAATATACTAAAATGTGTTATAAATCTCCAAGAGGAGAGTATAATATTCAGAGTTTTCCAGACATTTTTAATCATTGAAGTCTTTTATTGAGAAGCATCTTGAGAAATGAGTATGAAACAGAACAGACTTTAGAAAATGTTGATAAGAGGTTGTTATAAGTTAGTACCTGTTCTTCATATAAAAACTTAGACATAGGAATGGAAGAATACTGCCTTAAACTGTAAGTAATACCCATTTCAGAACACAAGTCAGCATTATATTTACTGGTAAAAGACTAACGTTCTAATCTATTAAGTGATAATCTTTTTAAAAACAAGGATTATCATGATCACTTTATACATTAAAGTTGGTCAGTGCCATAGTCAAGGAGGAGAAATAAGAAGTATAAATTTTGGAAAGAAGAGACAAAATGTATTATCAGAACATATAAACAGTTGAAAAAGGGTTGTAATTAGTGAAAAGTTTCAGGAAATAAGATTAGTAGAAAAAATAAGATTGGATGGATATGAGGTGGATATAAGATGAATAGAAAACAGCCCCCGATATTTACCTTAACTGCCAGAAATTACAGGGTTTAGAAAAAGATTCTCTCACAATATCTAGAAAACCTATAAAATACTCAGGCACAATCTTCTTGGAGGATTGTGTGTGACTTATATGAGGAAAACTGTAATATGTAATATTTAGAGATATAAAAAGGGATAGATACTGAATATATGCCTCTTAGATATGAAACTTTTAAAATGTTAATTCTTTCTCAATGTATAGCTTCATTGTAATAGCAGTAAGACTTCTGATGGTATTTTATTTGAAATTTCTAAATTTTATTTGGATTTGTAAATTTTATTTGGAAGAAGGAACAAGTGAGATTATTCATGAACATTCCTAAGAAAGGCCATACAGTGGCATTAAATAAAATAGTATGGTAATTGCATAAAGCTAGACATTCAAATCAGAATGGAATCAATAGAATAGACAATCAATAGAAGGAGTCTTCAGCATGTAAAAGACTATAACATAATACATTATAAAGTGGGAGGAAAGAAATCAAGTGCTTAGTAAATTAGAAATTACAGCAAGTCCTCAAATAATGTAGTTTCCTTCAATGTTGTTTCATTATAATACTGATGAAAAAAAAATTGATTCCTGGCTGGGGCCACTGTCTGTGTGGAATTGGCACGTTCTTCTACGTCTGCGTGGGTTTTCTGCAGGAACTCTGGCTTCCTCCCACATCCCAAAGATGTGCACACTAGGTGGATCGTGTCTACATTGTCCCCATCTGAGTGAGTGTGGGTGTGGGTGTGAGTGCACCCTGCGATGGAAGGGCGTCATGTCAGGGTAGGTCCCACCTGGCACCCTGAGCTGCCAGGACAGGCTCTGGACACCTGTGACCTTGAACTGGAATCAGCAGGATGGAAGAGAATTATACTTATTTTTATTAACCTTCCTTTTTCTTTTCTTTTAAATATTTTTTTATTGGGAATTGGGGGAGGGGAGCAGCACTGGCAATTGGGGAAGGGGAACAGACAAGTTGCTGTCCTTTTGTTCTTCAGTCTAGTTGTGAGGACGATCAGGCAAAGGCTGGAGAACCACATATCATGCGTGTTGTAGGAAGTATCCGTGGCCCTAATCGAGCGTTGGGCTAAACAGCCTCTGATATTCCTGCTAAGATTCTAACTGAAGAACAGCGCGGTGGAGGAGACGTGTAGGGCCAGGTATGGAGGAAGGGGCACAGTGCCCACCGGGTGCCACACTCTCCCAGTACCTCCACGTGTTCACCCACCAGGAAGCTCCTCAGGGGATAAGCTTCCTAACTTTATAGGATGATAAGACATCTCAACAGATGTGACTACCTAAAATTAAAGATAGTGAATGCACTGTAAAAATGAGGTTACATTTAAAAAGCAAGTATAAGCTTTGTGCAGTGGCAGCGAGGTTTTCCCAAGGTGCCATTATGAGTAATAAGAGCCTTTGCAGTCCCCTCACAAATTCAGCTGTGCTCCACTTGTTGAATTTCAGTGAGGTGAGAAGACAAATGCACAAGGATGAATTGAGCAAGATCGATCACTAAAGAATGATTATAACAATGAAAGACCGGAAACAACCTAAATGCCTACAATTAGGGGTTTGGTTATGCATCTCCCCCAATAAAAATAGCTCCATAGAGGAAGGGATGTTTGTGTATTTTGTTCCTTGCTCTAACCTTAGTACCTAGAATAGTGTCTAATACACAGTAGGTACTTGGTAAATATTTATTGAATAAATGACTCTTAGTCTCAAAACCAGTATGAAAGCTCTTTGAGGGAGTGTCACATTTGCTTTTGTGTGCCTCCCACCCCCACGTTAGACTAAACATGGCAGGTGGGCTCACTAGTGCCCGCGGGCAGCTCTGTGGCCCTGGGCCCCTCTGCTTCTTAGGCTGGGACTGGCCCCGCACTACTTGATGTAGAGGGTAGGCTGTGCTGGAGGTGTTCTGTATCTTGACCTGGGTGGTGGCTCCATGACTAAACACATGTGAAAACTCATGAAACTGTTTACTTAAGAATAGTGCACGTTTGACACTAAATTGTATATATATTATTCCTCAGTAAAAAAGTTAAAAAAAAAAAAAAGGTCTGTTCCATTCTTTGAGATCTCCATAGGAAGTTAAACATGCTAAATGATACTTAAGATTGGGAAAGAGTTCTGCATATTCTTATTAAGAATTTCTAGTTTATTGAAATTTTTGTTTTGAATTCAAAATTAAAGTAAAATGATTTTTTTACTTATTTTGTCTTTTGCAGCGATAGCAGTGGCAGAATTTCACAAAAAAATCAAAGAGGCTTTTGAAGTGTTTGACCATGAGTCGAATAATACAGTGGATGTGAGGTTTGGAAATACTTTCTTTATTCATATTCTAAAATACTGATACAACTCATTGTGGAGAAAAGGGAACCCTGGTGCACTGTTGGTGGGACTGCAAATTGTTGCAGCCATTAAGGAAATCAGTATGGAGGTATCTCAAAAAACTGGAAATGGAACTACCGTATGACCCAGCAATTCCACTCTTGGGTATCTATCCA